GTATTTCTGTGTTATGCTAATGTGTGGTTGTGTGCGTCCCACAAGTCTGATGTGCAAAATGGTGACTGTTTTGTGTGACTCACATATCATTGTGTAAATCACACCTCCTTTGTGTTTTCAACGTGCTGTCCAAAACAAGTAAGCAGTCGCCTACATAGGAATACGGCGAGGATGAGCCTAACCAAGCGAAGTGAGTTGGTAAGTATATAGGACAAACAGATGTCGTTGTGGTTAAGTCAACTTAAAGGAAAAAAGAATGCGTTCACCCAAATTAGCATTTGTCATAAATCATCTGTCCGATTAAAAATAAACTTTTTTAGAAGTCTCAAACAGACCCGAATCGGCAAATTTACAATACAGATCGCGAAAGATACTTCTCCCACTGGTGCGACAGTCTGTCATACCCGTGCGAATTTGGTGAGAATCGTACTTAAGCCAATCCGTGAGCTCCTCGTTTGCACCGCCAATTTCGCTGCGCTCATGGCGGGCAATGCGTCGATAAAAAGATATTGGCTCCCTGTTTCGGAATCTACTCCGGCCTACGCGCCGTCCCCTGACAGACCTCCGCTACGCTCCGGCTGTCAAGGCGCCTCTCTAAGGCCTCTATGATTTATGTTAGGTTGGAGTTTTCGCACTGTCGAAAGAAGTGCTACTTCTATTATATGCTCCATCCTCTAAACCATCATCAAACTGCTGCGATGCACAAGCAAGCTGTTAATCTGTTGCACGTGCAAATTGCTTCCATGATACTTTCGCAAAGTGCGTCACGTGTATGATGCACCTACAGTTTAAAACGCTCTGCGTTTAAAACACACACAATTTTCCACTCAGGTGCTGCTGTTCGTGCTGTCCCTGCTTTTGCTTGCTCGGAATGATATGGACGTCGTCGTAGCTGTACTGACACACCGGCGCCTTAGGACCGTTGCTCAGCACCACTGGTTTCGCTCCGCTTTGGTTCACTCCATAGGAGGAGGCACACTCCGTGAATCTCGCCATAGTAGGCTTCACATAAATGTTGCGCAGCACAGCTTCATCTCCAAAGTTCCCGTTCATCATGACAATGCTGACGTTTTTACCAGCGCGGTCACTTTTAACAACCGCGAGGTCCACGTAAATGTTGGTCATGTTGAGGAAGCGCTGGCGAGGGTTGCTCTTGCAGTTTCCGCATGAGCGGTACAGCTTGTTGAAGTCCAGTGCGTAGAAGCCCTCGACAACAACGGTGCCATATCCGTTGTGCTGGATTACCTTGTCATCCGCATAACGAGCCCCACCACCGATGACCCTGGACACACTGGAAGAGTTTCCACCCTTGATACTAAGGGCATCCTCGCACACATCGTCCCAACACACGTTCTCGATCGTGCAGTCCGACATCTCGCAGTGGACATCCTCCATTTGGTTCTGGCCGATGATGACGTTCTTGATTGTAGCACCGGGTTCGACCTCGAAGACAGCAGTGGATACGTTGCTTTCAGTGTGGCCGAGGCAGGTGATGTCCGAGCGATCGTACGTCTTCATGCCGCCGTCAAATACTTCGCCCGATTTCACGACGTAGACCTCAGGGAAAGTGACATGACCTTGACTAATTGGCTAAGATGAGGGCTAGGCAGCTTTACAATCATCTGCACCCCGCGTTTGAATGTGTAATAGTACATAGTAATATATGAATGTACATGCATATCGTTGGGTAAGTATAAAATAATAAGGCTTTCATTTCACGGAATAAGTTACTTGGGGAATTACGTTGATGGATGTCTTGAATTCAAGAGTTTAAAAGAGCAGGTCGTCATTAGCGATGATGAAATCTATAAATACGCTAAGGGAAACACAAGATGCGAAGAATCGCGACTGATACCAAAACTAGCTTTTGTTTCTTTCTTGCCAGCAATTCTACCTTTGCAATTGTTTAGACACAAATAGTTCGTCTCGCCGAGGAGAACGTGCCGATGGAATATACGTGGAGAGCGATTGGTACAGCCGAGGGAGAACTACTGGCAAACAAAAAGCTCGATAAAATGCGCTCTCTGCATGTCTACACTAACAACAAGAACAAACACTGCTCGATATGCAAGGAGAACACTGATGGACACAAGATGAGGTACAAAATGTGGTACTGTGTTTCATCAACTTGCAACACGACTGGTGAGAAATGCCCTTATTGGTTGAAGCTTCTTCAATGTTTTGCAACGGATATCTACTCATTTTATGAGCATGAA